AATATCATCTGCAAGTTTATGTAATGTATTGACCGTTCTTTCATTTATGTAACTGATGTAAATCAAAAAGAGCAAAGATCCTGAGACTGAGCCCTGAGGTACCCCACTTGTAATATTAATCTAGTTTGAGTGAACTTCATTTGTAACAACCTTCTTTCTTCCATCCAGCCATTCTTCTATCCAATTTGCTAACTTATCCCCCACACCTATAGAGATAATTTTTTTTTTTGTATGGTAGTTTATCAACTTTCCAGTTAATGTTTGTCATTGGATTGTCAGGTTTTATGTATGGGCTGGATTCTTTGCAGTAGGTATCTGGTGATAAATTTCAACAGTAAAGAAACAATACACAGTCCACTTGTTTTAAAACAATATATTGAAATAAATGAATAAATGCTCATTACTCTGTTGGTTATCACGGTTATATCCAAAGTTTTAAATAATTGTCTCTTTTGTCAAAGTTCACATAGGCTGGTTCAAGAACATGCCAGGTGCATAAACACTATCAACCTGGCAAAGATAGCTCTAGTGTTTTGTTTTATAAAGCTAAAACCAACCATGTACTGACAATCAAATATCTGCATTGGTGAGTAGAATAACCCACAAAAAAAAATACATTCAGACCCAAATTGTTTTTAAGAAAAACTGTTTTCTATCTTCAGCATGATTGTTGATTGTGGTGGCCTCTATTATTTCTGCAGTTAAGTCATTGTAAAGATAAATAATGCATTAAAAATAAAGTTGGTAACAACTGTGTAAAAAAAAAAAAATGTTATAGTAAATTGTAAGTGTACGATTAAAGATAATAGTATGTATATTTACTATTTATGAAGTAAATGTTTCTGATTATTTTTTGTAAGTTGTGATGAACTTGGAAATTGAAACATATATTCTTTGCAGTAAGTTTTTGGCTACCAAGATTTTTTATTGGCTACTAGATGTGAAAAATCCTTTTTAAGGCTGTTTTAAACTATTACTTGATTACTGCATGCAAAATGTGACTGAAGAAATATACAAGAAGTATTTGGAATTTTAGTGTTATCTATCCAAGTACGAGTGATAAGTAAATGTTTTCTGTTTTGAGAGATAATCAATCTTGAGGAAATATGAATACTTGGAAGGAAACATTGAATTTTTGTTTTTCATCACATTAAACTCTAGGATCTTTTTTTTTTTTCCTAGTTTAAAAAATTAGTGTTTTCCTGTATTTACTTTTGCATTATAACTGTTACAGCAGTGTTAAATATATTTATCCAGTATAACCTCTTAGTTTCTTTTATCTGGTCATCGGGTAAACCATCTCATAATTTCTTAATCTGTTTGTGTCTTTTTATTCTATTAAAACCAAAGTATATTTCATGATTTACTATATTCTCAAAAACATATTTCTGTGGGCATTTTGACTCTGGATTTTACTGAAATCTAAATGTATGTTACTCATTAATGCTTTTATAACTGTTAGAATATTGAAAGATTATTTCATGTATAGCATTGACCAATTAAATTTAAAATGTCCCAACATTTTTGTATGTTTAAAAGGTATATATATGTTCTGTTTATGTATTTTGGATAACACATAAAATTATCTGTATAATTACATGAAACTAGAATACATAGAACCATTTTATTTACAGATGGTATGGATGGAAACCCCTACAAACCCAACCATGAAATTAGTTGATATCCGAGCAGTGTCTGAAGTTGTCAAAAAACATTCTGGAGCATTCATGGTTGTAGACAATACTTTCATGTCTTCCTACTTCCAGGTAAAAACACAATTTGTTCACCTTCCAGTTAAAAAATGCACTTACTTGTACATTAACTGCTGCAGGAGCAGCTCAGTTGCCGTTTTCTAACTCGCAGATAAAACTTAGTTGCCATCAATCACAATAAAACTGTAATTATCGTCATTCGCATAGAGTTATAGTTATATATGTGAGATTGACTTATATTTCCATCATTCGCAGCTGAGCCATAGAACTTCAATGACGGAAATATCCGTCATCCGCAGTTAATGGGTTAATTGCTATTCTCTACGTTCCAGTGTTTTGTATGTGTTGTTGGGAAATGAAGAACATCTGGTTATAACAGGAGTTTCATTTTATTATTGGGAATTGGATAATTTCAGTTTTATCTGAATAATAAAAGAGTGTAAAACTTTTTTTTTTCTGGTTAATGTTGAATTGTAACATTCTTAGATAAAATTAGCAAGGCTGGGCCTCAGTCAAATTAAAACATAAAAACAATATTAACATTTAAGTTCTATTTAAGTTTCCGTATAGATGTACCCCCTAGTGTATAATAGTTTTAAGATAAGTACTAACAGTTCTTAATTCAAGTGCATTTTTTATTACTGTGCTATTTGTGTAAGTGGGTATTTAAAACTTCTATAAACAAGAACTTTTTCCTCCAAGTATAAATATAGAATCCAACATTGTATGAATTAACAAAATGTCTGTCCTTGAACAAGATATGAAAAGCTAACACACGGATGAGACATTTGTGATAAATATCTTTTTATGTTTACATGCTTACTTCTGTTTCAGTAAATGTTACTTTAAGTTGCTGAAATATTTATGTGAGAATCTTTAGTGTTACTGGAGTTATGATAGCATAAGTTTAAAAAATAGTAAACTGATATAGGAAAAATTCCAGATTCATTCAGTTTTAGAGAATATTTCTAGCTTGGTTGTGGATATTAACTCTTCTGTTATATGTTTAATATTTTCCACCAAATTCAAACTAACCTCACAACATAACATTTTTAACTTTTCTCCATCTCACAATTATCTTTTATATACAAGTACTTAGTTTTTCTGAGGGCATGCCTTGGTGAACTTTTCCTTGACGTATTCTGTATACGATGTATCAGGGATGAACATTTACCTTTCTTTTTTTTCCTAGTGAACAGAAGAACAATTTAATTTAGAAATGAATGAGCACATACAATCCTGATAGATATTTGTTGAGTTCTTATTTATTACTCATAATGAGCCTCATTTGTTGGATTCTAACAAAACTGATGTGAGAAAAAATTTTAGGAGATGAGTAAAGATGTCAAAACATCTGTGTTTTTACAATAGTAAATAGAAAAGAGACGAGAAATCTTGATGAATATTTATTATAGAAACATTCACGTAACAACCTGGTACCTTTAAAATACAGTAACCTGTAACCAGTAACCCAGCAGAGAATATGTAACCTTATGCACAAGGTATGAGGATGTCAACCTCAGTGGGGTTTTGGGGGGGTAGAGGTGAAGCAATTCTAGAGAAAGTAATTTTTAATCTTTTTATTTTGTTATTGCTAAATGTTGGTTTGAAATTTTTTCCATGGGAAAAAATGTACACACTTGTGTATTGTGCTTAAAGAGTGCTTTAAAAAACTGGAACTCTATCCTTGTGGCAGAGATAAGTACTAAAGAATAATGGTGATACAATTTTGATACAGTGGCTACAATGGTAAAGAAAAGATTTTTCATGGCCTCGCCCCATTTCCCTTGTTCATGAGTAGTGTTTGATTACATAACTTTATATGAGGCTTTAGTTACAATATGTAATGTATTTAAATACAAGTTCTGAATAGAACCAGGTAATTAGTGATATTTACTAATAGATTAATCAGTGGGCTATTTTAACATTTTCAATAACTGCATTATTCTAAACATGGTATTAATCTTTCTATTTTCATTCATATTGCTTTGTTTTTTCTTGGTGAATGAATTACCAATGTCAACTAAATACCACCAAACAGTTGCCATTACATTTGTTGTTTTTTTTGTTGGTGAATGAATTACCAATGTCAACTAAATACCACCAAACAGTTGCCATTACATTTGTTGTTGTTTTTTGTTGGTGAATGAACCACTAATGTCAACTAAATACCACCAAACAGTTGCCATTACATTTGTTGTTGTTTTTTGTTGGTGAATGAACCACTAATGTCAACTAAATACCACCAAACAGTTGCCATTACATTTGTTTTTCAGGTATGCAGTAATCCCACATTGATCTTCCGTAAATCAAATAAATTGATAATTAAATAATGAAAACATGTTTTACTATCACAGATAAGGGTAATAATGTTTATTTGGAACATATAATTACAATTGAAAATAATTAAGTAGCCAGTTAGCCAATTTGTTTGTGTGATTCTTGAATAGGACAAACATTCCATACAGATTGGATTGTAACTCAATAAAACCATATTTTAAACAAAGAACTAAACATCAAAAATATACATTTATTAAGCCTTAAGCAATCTTCTGTCATGTAACTTCTTTGTTTCGTACTGTAAATGTATTCCTGTATGTAAATAAACTACTTAATGACGAACCTTTTCCAAACATTGTACATTTGTTAAACTTGTAATAAAGTTTTCTTTGTTACCAATTCAATCTGTTTCTAAACTGTCTAAGCATAACTTATCTCAACAATTAATTATCTAATATCTTCCTGCTCAAAGTTTCTGTAGCTTTCAAACACATATAATTTAACACACAAGTACTTTAACAATTCACAATGAAAATAACATTTTCAGAAAATATAAAAAAACAACTCTGAAGACTATATGCTTACTCTTCTGTAATATGTGATAATCTATTTCTTGCTATATCCAGTGATATTCAAACTTTCTTTATATACTGTTTTCAAAGCTGTGTTTCTTTAGTAAACTATCACACCACATTCCATAACAAGGTTTCAATCAGGGCTTATACAAGTTATGTTAAACAATGTGAGAGATCCATACATTGAGGAACTGTTAATCAAAACAGGGGTGATCCAGGATACTATGTATATGGAGGGGGGGGATACAACTAGACCTCTTACAGTATTGTGATAAACTTGTTCTGTTTCACTGTTTACTTTACTTGTAACTACACACTACTAATAACTCTAGTAACGAAAGTAATTAGATAGCCTTAAAACATAATTTTGAGTAGCTCAGTTAGGTTATAATCCAGTGATTTTAAAGCTTGTATCTTTATTTCTAATAATTTGATTTGATATGAAAATAAAAGCAGTTAAAGTAAAACATTTCAAATTTTGTAATTAAAAATAAATAGTTATAATTATATTTAAAAAATAAAATAAAGTGTACACCTTAAATCATATTTTAGCATGCATAAATTCTGAATTAGAAATTCTGTAGGTTCAGTAATTAATATTTCATCAATTCTACACATAAATGATTAAAAGTGTAAATTATATGTATGTGTGGACTGAAACTAGCTGTTGAATGGAAAGGGAACAACGTTACGGCTTCTATACTGAGACTAAGAAGACTTCGGTACAGAAGCTGAAATGTCCCATTTTCATTCGACAGGCAGTTGCAGTTCATTAAAGTTCTCAAACCTACCATGTCTACTCTGTCTAAAGTTCTACTGAAACAATGTATGTACTTTGATCCTCTTGTCATGCAACCATTACATAAACTTGAAAGATACCATTTTGAGAAATTAACTTTTTTGAAGTTATTTTCTTTTATTGAGATGTAAACTGTCAGTGATGAATGCTATAATATGTTTTAGCTAAAAGAACACTTGTTTATGCAATGCAGTATTTCAGTTATGTTTCACTGCACTATACATACCCATTTGTTTAAATTAATGTAGAACCTTAGTGATTATTATTTTTAGTGAGAAATCTTTATTAAGCTATTCTGTTTTATTTGTTGTAGAGACCGTTGAGTCTAGGAGCAGATATTGTCATGCATTCATTAACTAAATACATGAATGGTAAGGATATTTAGAATTCTTTTTCAAGTTACAACACTCGTGTTGTCTAAACAGTATGAACAGGTTTATGATTTAGAGCTTGCAGGTTACTACATACATACATACATACATGCTCAAAAGTTAGACCAGGCTTATAATGTTGGTTATTAGTCATGTCAGTAACATTCATATTTTTTGTGTGTAGTTACAAATGAACATTATTAGAAATAAAGTAATATTTCCAGTTCTAGTTTTTCAAAGAAATTGAAATGATACCTGCAGGAAAATAAAATATTTAGTAAAATAAATACACGGTCAAACTTTCATTAATAATAGGTCACTCTGATGTGTTGATGGGTGCAATTATGACCAACAGAACTGACATCTGGGAAAAACTGGCGTACCTTCAAAACTGTAAGTTTGTATCTGTTGTGCTTAAAATTGGGTTTTAATGCTTTTATTAATGTGAAGGAAAAGGATACGTGTGCTATTAAAGAATATTATTTAGACAGCTATTTTAATAAATTTGATAAGTCTGAAATATCTAAAAAAAAATTTATTTCTAACCAAGTTGTCTACCTAATCGCATTTTGGAGCATTTCACATTTTCTGGAACATTCTCTGTAATTCTCATACTTTTGTATAAGGTTACCCTTCTGACCAGTACAGTATTTTGTACAATGTCTAAACATTATTTAAAAACTACAAAATCTCTTGAAGGGTTATTTCAGATAGAATCCTTTAAAATCTCAGACTTTATTCTAGTAAATCAAATTATTTGGATTTGGTCATTCCAATTGGGGGTAAATTGCAATATCAGTAAACTTGCCTAATTAGAATCTGTTGCTGCACCATTAACAGAACTCGGTTGAAACTAACATTAACAAACTTAGTTAAGAGTAGTTGCTATCAGCCTTTTCAAATAATCATTACATTAAACTTGATATGTTTTTCACTTATGTGTTTGTATGTTTTACTCATCAAAAGTCAGTTGAGAGTCTCGATAGAAAATAATACTAAAATATGCATTTATTGTTAATTCTTGAAGTCTACAATATTGTATCTTTTTACATATCCTTCCTACAGTCAAAGGCTTATTTTTCCATATCTTTTATATTTTCCATATTTATATATTTTTTCTGTGCACAGCATACAAGTAAAGTTTTTACAATTTGATTTTGAACATGTGTAAGTACTTTCTCTCTATTTGATTATTTAAAGCACATTAAAAATGTTTTAAAATTCAACAACTGAAGAGCATTTATAAAGTTATAAAAAATAATTGGTTAAAATTGCTAACTACAACTATCCAACTCAGTATCTTAATATAGGCTGGGTAATTTAAATTTGGTTATCTATGACAAGTGGTGTAAAAAAATATTTACTAAATCAACTTGCAATCAACTTTTTTAGTTTTTTTTGTTAATGAAGCATAATTAGACTACCAGTGTTTTCACTGCTTCTTGCTATTTTGGAGGAAAAAGTGTGTTCACATTACTTTATGTAATGTTATTAGGTTATGAAAAATGCCAGTTTTCTTTGTCATTACAATGTTCTAGCTCTTGGTTCTATCCCATCTCCGTTTGACTGTTTTCTGGTCAATCGTGGACTCAAGACTCTTCATGTGAGGATGGAGAAACACATGGAGAATGGTTTAGCTGTAGCAAGGTTTTTGGAGTCTCATCCACTTGTTGATAAAGTACTTCATCCTGGTAAGATTTTTCTAATGCTAAATTATTCTGTATACATACATCTTGATTTATTCAATTTGAAATATGTTTTTCTATGATTTTTTTTAAACTGTTTAAACTCTATTCTGTCAAGCCTTTATATAACTTTTGTATATGACGGGTTGTTTACATTCTATCAAATCATTGATAACAGCTAACAAAGCAGGAAGGTACTGTTAAACCATAATCACTTAGCATATTGTGTGATATAGTAAGATAGCTGCTCTGTTTTCATATAGCTTTAATATAGTTGGTTGATTACTTAAACTGTTTCAGAATAAGCTTAATAAGCTAAAATTAGATTTTATAATGAGGTGTTTTAAGACAGTTAATGAATTTTTAGACACTATATATCAGTACAAAATGTACTTTTGTTTCTGTGTTTCTATAATTCAGTATCTTTGTTTTTTTGTGGAAGTAAACAATATTCATTGGTATAATTTGTTCAAAGGTTATACTTTTTTTTACATCAGGTCTACCTAGCCATCCTCAACATGAGCTTGCCGTACGACAGTGTACTGGATTTAGTGGAATGGTTTCATTTTACATCAAGGGAGGTCTGCAGCAAGCAGAAGAGTTTATCAAGAATCTAAAGCTCTTTACTCTAGCTGAAAGTTTAGGATGTATAGAAAGCCTTGTGGAAATTCCGTAAGTATTAATGAATGTAATTAATTAATTAGAACAAAAGAATCCAGTATCATTGTGTGTGTGTATGTATGTATTAGAGGTTGGCATGGTTACTCAAAAACCCAGGTACCCAGCGAGTTTTATGTCACCCAATCTAGGTCTCCTTTTTTTTTTACTCTCCTGGTTTCAATTACTAATTTGAGAATTGAAAAAATTAGAAAATATGAAAACACTGTAAATGTATTGTGTAGGCCTCTAGTTGTCATGGTAAAGATGAGGTTGAAACAAGCATATTCAGCACTAAAAAAGGCTGCAAAAGTCCACAGATATACTATATACATCATTAAAAGACTAATATTTGTTATCAATTTAGAGAAGTTTTATTCTCTTTTAACACCCAAACATACATACATAAGCACCTTTTCAGCACATTTTCAAAAATATATACGATTTTTCACAAAAGTAATTGTAAACTGTTATCATTCAAAAGAGACTTTTAATAAGAAGTATCTCCTTAAAATTTGGTTGCATCATACATGAGTTTGTAGATGTATTTTACAACTTTTGGTTCTATGCCATCAAAGTGAACACCAAAATAAAAGAAAAAGACCTCTTAAAAAATTCATTTACTTTTTTAAATATTTTATAGAGCATTTCATGCTTAGTGTGTACATGCTATGTAAAAGTAGATTACCTGCATTTCCTCACTGTTAAAAGTTGTATAAGTTTTAAATGTTACATTGTGTTTGATCTGGTTTATTGTACTTCTGTTTGTGACAGGAGAGAATATATACTCCTTGTAACGAAATAGTTTAATAATTGTTTTACCAAATAGGAGTGTTTTTCTTAATACATCTCAGTGTAATTTATTCTAAAATATTCTACAAGTCTTCATATCTTTGATAGTTTTATACATTACCTGCTGTTATATGAGTGTGCTTATTTGATTTTAACATCTATAGGGTCATAATGAGATTAGTCTGTAGTAGAGAACTGTACAGGTTGCATGCATGATAAAGAAAAAACTACTTATTATTTGGACCTGGTAATGGCCTGATGGCTAGGGTGCTCAACCCAAAATCTGTAAGTTATAGGATTGAAACCAGACAACAAACTTGCTCGCTTTTCAGCTGTGGGTGTTATAATGTTATGTTCAATCCTACTGTTTGTTAGTAGAAAGTAACCCAAAAGTTGGTGGTGGATAGTATTAAGTAACTGGTTTTCTTCCCTCTAGTCCATCACTCCAAAATTAGGGATAGCTATTGCAGATAGCCCTCGAGTTGCTTTGTGCAAAATTCAACAAAACTTATTAATTACATCTTTTCTGCTGTAAACTGTCTCTTTTCTTTTGTAATTAGTTCTTTCCATAATCATTCATAATACCATTACCATATAACGTGTATCAAAAAGCTTAGAAATTAGCTTTATAAATGTTTGTGTGAAATTCTGTATCTTTTGATTTACAAAGAGGTTTTTAATCCATTTTTGTACTTTTATTGGTAAGATTACCACTTTGCACAATAGGAAGACATTTGATATTTTCAAAAATTCTCACACATATACTCTACATCAATTCCATTCATACAAGGTTTTCCTCTAGTGCCAGTACAAAAAAACTGTATTTGATTTCTTGTGAATAATTTGTTATTTCAGATCTCTTATGACTCATGCATCTCTACCGAAAGAGCATAGAGAAAAGTTAGAAATTTCGGACAATCTAATCCGTCTGTCTGTTGGCCTTGAATCAACCAAGGATCTTTTACAAGACATTAATCAAGCTCTAAACAAAGCTGTAAGTAAAAAGCTAATGGGACTAGATGATAGAAAGGTTTTATTGACTGATGTATTGTTAAAAATTCTGAAGTTAGAAGTCACAATTTATTTCTTTTTTCACGTTTTGGAGGTTATATGTTTCTTGTATCTGTTATAATGAGATGTTATGTATAAGAACTTAAGACCTGATGTTAAACTTAAAGATGAAAGAGGGTGAAATTTAAAAATATAAATAGATAGTGAATAAATATTGAAATTCTTATTTAACAGTTTTACGGTTATCTTGATAACCTGTAACTGTTAAAACCTGATAACAGATTATAACTTTTGAGTAATTTTGGTTGCCAAATTTACAAAGCCCTTTATTACTTGTTACACAATTCAAAACACTATTCCTCAGCCTCTACAGGTATTTATCTATAATTGTTACACAATTCAAACCACCTCACCTCAGACTCTACAGGTATTTATCTATAGTTATTACACAATTCAAACCACCTCGCCTCAGACTCTACAGGTATTTATCTATAGTTATTACACAATTCAAACCACCTCGCCTCAGGACTCTACAGGTATTTATCTATAGTTATTACACAATTCAAACCACCACGCCTCGGACTCTACAGGTATTTATCTATAGTTATTACACAATTCAAACCACCACACCTCAGACTCTACAGGTATTTATCTATAGTAAGTTTTTTATAGAAAAAGAGAGATAGGATCAACTTTCTCTGAAAGATTTTTTTCTTTTCTGAACCCTTTGGTTATGCTCCTTTATCAAATGCTTGTATATATTCTACAGTACCAGTTCTAGTACAAATGACAGATACTTAAATTTTCACTAAAGCTTTGTTTTTTATTTTACAGTCTCCTGATAAATGCACATAACCAAAATGTGGAGAAAATAAAACCACATTTTTCTGGAGCTAAAAGTCTTTTGTCTCTTAAAATATTTACAAACATCTCCACTCAGTGCTGCATATTTTTAAAAACCAAAAAAAAACAACATAATACACATTATACTTAGATTAATATTGATATATAACCGATTTGAACTTGTTATTTTACTTATCACTTGTTTACCACTTAATTAGAAGTTAACACACTTTTTTATGTCAAACATTTAGATACTTTATTTACTGGTAGTGTTTATTTTTGTTTTAACAGGGAGAAATAGGCAAGCAGTAGAAGAAAAAGACAAACTGAATCCTTTGATAAAGAGGTTAAATATTTCATTTCAACCTATTTTCCAGTTTTGTATGGGTATTTTGGTACTTAAATATACTTTTATAAGCTGATTGAGCATTGTTCTTCAAACATATGACTTAATCATGTTTTATTGGTTTTTATTATTAATGCAAAATTATCAGATTGACTATTTACTGTGGTACATTCCTGCTGTGTTGAGTCGGTGTTGGTCAACATTTCTTCCAACTACCATGCATATGCTGGTGGTTATACAATGTTTTTCAACTGTCTAAGATGTTACACCTACAAGTTTGAGCTTTGGGTCATTTTAGTTGCCAAATCACTTTAAAAGAATTGTTGTGAAAACAGACAGTAGATATTTTATACACAAGTTAATCTATGTTGGCTAGTATAGTAATAAAATACTGTTACGTTTCTGTTCCTTTATTAATTTTCCGTAGAAATTCTTTCCGAGAAACTTCAGCGATACAAGTCCTTTCTTAAATAAAACTAGTTTATTCTTTCTCATTACAAACTTTGTAATACACTTAATTTCCACAGTCACTTTAACTTAAACACACGCTATAATTCACAACGATTCACGAGCATTACTTATGGTGCCTACCACCCGCTTGACTCAAATATTCGTGTCTATATCTTCAATCTCTCTATCTGCGATTCCAATTCCGATTAATTGTCTCGCTTTATCTGGCGTGCTTATATACAGGAATAGAGGGCGTCTAGCAAATACTGGATTATTCTTGATGTTCCCCGATCCTTCTAGAAACTCATTACGTGTTACCAGCATCACATGACTTCCGCTGTCGTAACAAAACTTTTAAAATAAGTTTATATATTAGCACAAAATTATCTTGTGCACTATCTGTACCGAGTCTGTAATGAGGATCAAACCCTAAATTCTAGTGTTACAAGTTTACTTCTGAGCCACTGAGGTACAATTTTAAAATACAGCTGTTGAAAAATCTAACACTAATAGATATAGAGTTTCACTATTTCAATCAGTATGTTTTATATAGACACTTACAACAGTTATACTTTGATCTATTTCGATGAACTAGCTTTACAAACTATTGTCTCATTCTTTTAAGTTACCAGTTAAATTGTTTTTTTTAAGTGTATATTTTATTTGTATGACAATTTTTGATTAAGATCTTAGTGTCATACATTTATTATATAAGTGTACACAATATCCTCACATGTGTTAACATGTTTAAATTTTTTTTAACTTAAGTACTTATTTCTTTTCAACCAGTGACAGATTGATCTCTTTGTATAGCAACATGTATCAAAGCTTATATTACATAGTAAATGAAAATGTTTGAAAACTGGCTTTGCATTTTTCTTTTTACTGCAATGGACTACAAATGTCAACATTCAACTGGGAACTTGTTTTCCTTTATCAGAATTAGTGTTCAGTTTATCATAAACTGCAAGCATTTACAAATATGAAAGATTATGAAGAGATTTTGTTTATCTTGAGAAATTAGTATTTTACCACAAAGTTTCTTTAGAAGCTCTTTGTTCACTACTGTAGGACAACAAACTCATGAAGAAGCTGTAAAGGAAAAAGTTGAGAAATAAAAAAATTGTATTTGGAGATAAATGTCATATATATATATTGTTACGTATCTGCTTGTTTGTTTGTTTCTGGTAGAAATTCTTTCCGAGGATCTTCAGTGGTACAAGTCCTTTCTTGATTAAACCAGTTTATTCTTCCTCAATACAAACTTTTAGTACACATTAGTTCCACAATCAGTACGTTTCTAGTCACTTTAAATTTAACAACTTTTATAATGCATGCTATAAATCACAGCGATTCATAATCTCTAACTTTGCTCTCGACGAGTGCAAAACACACACTTTATTGCTCACTAGCTTGAAACTAACAGACTCATAAATTACACGGAACTCAAAGTAACTACTGCTCTCTCTTCATATATATATCTCCTCCGCACTGGCTTTCCTCTGCCAGGCTTATATACTAAGGAAGAGGTCATCTCCCAAATACTCGGACTTCCCCAATCATTCGAGAAACTTATCACGCATGCCCAGCAGCGTCACGTGACTTCCGCTGTCATATCAATATTTAATGTAGAACATATGCTTCCTAAAAATAATTCCAGGTAGCATTTGGAAAGATTAAAAACAAGTTTCATACTAGGGTACTATAAAACACTATTTGTAATGTGTTAATATTTGTCAGTTTCAGCTTTTTCTATTATATATTTAATATATAATAGAATCTAATATATTTTACCTATATTGTTCTTCATTTTCATATGATACAGTCTGAAACAGTTCTTTAGAATATTATTGAGTGTGGAAATTTTCACGGTTGATCCTGCCACCTATTATTATACAACTGTAATTATTGATGATATGAACCCACTGCCACATGGTGACTAAAACTGGACCTAAATACAGAAGACTTTCGAAATGTCATCCTCTACACTTGTATTTTTTTTACAACAAGCAATTGCCATCCATTTCAGTTTTACTTATCATTTATACTCTGCCTAAACAAACGACCAAAGAACACTACTAGTTTTCCATGTTATAAATGTGACAAAAATTAAATTTCATCAGTTAGATATACGCAACTGTTTAGGTTTAATGTGAGAGTTACTATTTAAATAGCTTATATAGCACAGGTCGTATTTAGTTATTTTTATGGTAAATTTGTTTACGTAACTGTTTAGGAAGTGTGGTTCAGTTGTTATGAATAAGAGATTATTTACAATAGTGAGATTATTGTGTCATGTTACTAGAACTTTCCGCATTTCTCAGTTTAATTAAGTATTATTGCATCAGAATATCTAGTATTGCATGAGATGTTCCATACTTTTGTTGGGATATAAATATGCATCGAAAATCATTATTGAGTTCTAGTTCTAGACTGCATGATTGTGATTTTAATGACAAAGAGTGTATAGTGGCGATTTTTAAAGTGAAATTATCACATAGTGTTTTGTAATAACAGAGTAGAGAAAAATAATTCATCTTGTCATTTGTGTTCAAAAGTAACTGAATCAGCCTGTGTGGACTTTGACAAAAAAAGAAACAATTGTTTAAAACTCTGGATACAACTGTGGTAACCAACAGTGTAACAAATATTTGTATATACATTTGACTTGTTTCAATATATTAACTTTAAAAAATGGACTGCCAGTCCTTCAGAAAGTATCTCTACACTTAGCCATGGCAGTCCATTTAGTGAAGTATTGCCGTAGATGTGCCACAAACATTTATACACTTTCTCCAGTGTCAGGTTTATCTTCTCTGAACAGATCTACTGATACTTGAACAGTTCATGATTACGTGCTCCACTCACATGTCACTATTTTTAAAGGAGAGAGCATCGAAAGACATGGACGAGATGACCAAGCTGTTAGAACAGTATATGGAAGCCCATGGAGGGAGTTTAACTTTTAAATCCAAGAATAACCAGTCAAAGTCGAAACCAAAGGTGACAAAAAGTCAACAGATAAAAGGGAGAAGAGGTGATATGCTTGTTATAAAATGGGGCACATTGCAAATGAGTTCAACTCTGTCACAGAAATTTCAAAATAAAGCAGCTGGAGCTACCTACAAAGATACTCCTGGCAAGAAACAAAAAGAGAGTGACTGTTACCATGGATGCCACTGCCAGAAGAAACAAAATGGAAACAACTCATCAGAATCACCATGAGAAGGAAGTGCTGTCACCAAGTTTAAACAGTGCATGGTTGGTGGTCAGCTCAAGTTTGTGAATGGGTCAACAGTGCCAGTGGTGATTCGAGTATGTGAGAAACATCGATAGGTACCAACAAACCACAACATTCCGGTAAGTGAAGGCTATGTCAGGGACAAAAAAGTGAAAATCCTACGAGATACTGGGTGCAGCAGTGAGAAACAGTTTGGTATCTGATCAGATGATGGGCAAAGTACATCTGTGTTTGCTGATTGATGGGACAGTGAGAAATATTTTCATGCCAAGAATAAAGGTAGACACTCCATACTACGTGGGTGACATTGAGACCATGTGTATGAAGGTATCTATGACTTAGTGAATGACAGTATACCAGGCAGAAGAAAATTGGAGTTACCTGAGAGAAAGAAGACTGATGAGGCGTCTGCAGTCACCACTAGAGCTCTAGAGAAGAAAAGTAAGCAAGAAATCAAGCTCCTGCAAGTCTTGAAGGGTAACATCCTGAATGTGGGTCTAAGAGAACTGAACGAAGCACAAAAGAAAAACCCTTCACCACAGAAACTTTGGGACAGTGCTCGGAAGAAAGATGAGCACAAGACCAGGGGAAAAGGGACCGACAAAATAGAGGACTGGAAGGGAGTGCTGTACCAGATGTATCAAAGCGATTCTACTGGGGAAGTTAAACAGTTCATAATACCAACAGAATACCGGACTCACGTGATGAAGATGGCTCACAAGTCAATTGTAGGACACCTAAGAGCAAAGAATACGGCAGACAGAATCACCAGGAACTTCCATCGTAAGAAAATGGTTCTTTTTGTTTTGTCCTTTCTCCAGTGGGAAAGTGATAAGTTTACGGACTTACAGCGCTAAAATCTGGGGTTCGGTTCCCCATGGTGGACATACCAGATAGTCCAATGTAGCTTTGCTCTAAAACAAACCAAACTTTTTGTTTGTGTGTGACATTCCAATGAAAAATAGGAAAGGAAGAAAAGCTTGAGTAAATTGCATTTTGCGTTTTCATAGATTGTTTCAAATAATAACCAATACATACATTACAATGCTTTTTGGTAACTTTTTGTAAAACATTAATTAGGTACGCTGGCAAAGTGTTAAATTTCTGGGTCAATTCAATAAAATCGTAAAATACAAAAATTAATGATTATGAAATATAATTAGAATTTTTACACTATTCGTTTTTATAATAAACGATTTAGCCTATCTTATATTAAAAACACCATAGAAACATGCGAAAACCTTACACTTCCTTATCACTAAATACTAATCATAACTCGTTCAATGAGAATCTTATGAAAATGAAAGTTCAAATCATCTTGCTCATTTATACCTTAAGGTGACTGAAATTTTTGAGTGACATAATTACGTGAAAATGTTGCATATATTATCAAAGTTGCTTTAAGCACGGTGCCACAGAACGCATTTAATAATTACGTGATACTGACTGTAGTATAGTGCACTAATTATGAATAACTGAAGCGCCAATGAAATCCGGATAACTGTTTTTGTTTATTTATTTACTCAAACTTAAAAAACTTTCAATTATTCTCTGGAGTTTAAGGACGTTTCATTTATTCGTCACAAAGAATATTGTCAGACGGAACACTAGGCCAACAACATAACAATTAATTCTCAGATACAGTAAGAGTGATTACTTAAATTCAACTATCTAAATACTGAAACAAACTCCAGGTAATTAAATTTTTTAATGTACCCGTCATTTAGACTTACGCCTTTAGCAAGGGTTTGGTATTTGCAATTGAATCATTTCAAGTATACAGTTTGAATGTCACACAATACAACAATCTCTCTCTCCAGGTGCCATGCCCATTTAGGGCGTTGGTGAACATGGTTTCCACTAATCCCTGTCTCCCGTTGCTTTTATCTATGTACTACTAAAACTCTGAGATTGTTTATTTGCTTTCCTGTAATTAAATACAGCAAAAACGGCCCACAATAAGGCCATACTTGCAATGAAATGAGAATAGCAAGAGAATAAAACAAGTTTCGTTAAAATCGGGCCACGGGTTACCGAGATAGCCCCGTTTGTCAGGTCACTTTTATTACAGCAAAAACTGCTTACAATACCGCTGTTACGCCCCCGTTCGTTAGTTAATTTGAAATTAAAGCCTATGTTGGTTTATCGAACTCTAAAAGGTATAAATCAAAGACAATTACCAATAACATGGAAATCTAATAAAAAAGCATGGGTAACTAAAGCTTTGTTTGAAGAATGGTTCGTCAAGTATTTTTGTCCAACTGTTGAAGACTTTTGCCGAAGAAGAAATTTAGATTTTAAAGCTTTGCTTATTTTAGATAATGCCCCTGGTCATCCTTTTGGTCTCGATTCAATGTGGAAAAATATCCAAGTGACATTTTTGCCCGCAAACACTACCTCTTTATTGAAACCAATGGACCAGGGCGTTATCGCAACCTTTAAAGCATGCTACCTGAGAAAGGCTTTCAAGCAAGCGATTCAA